TTCTATTTATAATTGTGTCTATATATTTGTAATAATTAAGGGTACAAGGATATGGTGACAATCATAGTTATTGTGAAATGTGAAACTTCTTAATTATGTGGAGTACATATTTCTTTTTTCTTCGGTACAATATGTGGTGTACATTTTAATTTTTGAATTCATTGCTTTCCTTGATTTTCTGAAAAATAACGGTTTTATTATTATGATTTATGATCTGAAGATTGTAAGATCAAGATGCCTTTTTGTCTTGATTGGTGAATATAATTTGATTTTTTGATAAAATGTTCTAGAATCATATCTCAAGACCAGGTCATGAAAAGTCAAAAAAGTTGTATGGTGACATTAATTTCACAAGTAATTAAGAAGTTGCGAAAAAAAAAAAAGAGAGACATTACGTAAATAGGGGGAAAGAAAAGAGCTAAGATGAAATAAAAATATTTTAAATTAGAAGGTAAATACCCATATTGGCTGTTGCAGTCCTCGAATAGCTCCTGTATGTAAAGCACAAATAAAAATCTTCATTTTTTGAGAGAGATTTAATTCACAAATTAAATGCATTTCATCTAAATAAAAATAAAATCAAAATGTACATGCAAGCACATTATCAATTTCAAGAATAACATTTTTTATATTATTGCTATGTGAAAATACCTCAGTGGAAAAATTATTTATTTTCTTTGGCTTCAGCCAGAGCAGCTTTTTTAGTGGTGCAATAAATAGAAAATGTTTTGAACTAATATTTTGTACATACTTATACAGCCATGGGAATAAACATTTGTTAATGGCACAGCACTTTCTTTAACAACTTTTAGTTGATAAAAAGAACATAACTGGCAATAACTCATCAGTAAATCTTATGAACAATAATGTAAAATTAGTTTAAATGTCATTCTCCAATTTTACATTCTTGGGCTGTAAAAGCCAGTTACTTAGCCTACAGGCAAACAATTGTTCTCCTAGATCTGTCAATAACTATGCTTATTATTGCAATCTTTGATCAGATAGTATTTTCCAAAGTGAAGTCCCTTTTACTAACTTGATGAGTAAATAAAGTTACATTTAGTGTCTTTTATTAGATTGGCTAATGGGTAGACAACCAGAATATTTCAACAAATATATACAATTTCATACTCAAACGTCGTACTTTAAAATACAATATAATTAATAAAAATATGACATTTATAACATAAATATGTATTTTTTGTCAAAAAGTATGACCGTTTACCAGTTAGACAATGTAACATTAGGAAGATCTGTGTTAATGGTAGTGTATATACATTATACATAGATGGAGCACACTTAAAACCACATTACATGTAAGTGTACGTATTGAGACCATCATATGCACAAAATTGTATTAAATTAAAGTAAGAAAAATATTCAAATGGCTTTTTTATGCATTTTAACTCACCCTTTGAGGTACTAACACAATTGACCACAAGAATATAACACAAAATAATAGGATTTCGATTTGACTTACCGAACCAGTATGTTACGAAACACGCTAAGTAACAAGGTGTTAATATTATCGATCGTCCAATAGATGGCGCCTAATTTGGAAAACTGCTCGTCGGGTGAAATTCTTCAGATTACGACGTTAATCACTGCTCCAAATAGATGAATTTACTCAATTGAGCAAATATGTGATAGTATTGTTAAGACAATTGTGCAAAATATAGAGAAAAGATGGAAAAATGGAAGATGGTCACAAGTCACAAAGGCAACTAAACTAGGCAATTAAGCAGCTCAAACAAGGCTATATATATACAATGAAAGTTCCTTGTTATCACGGTT